ATTACTATTATTATTATTATTATTATTATTATTATTATTATTATTATTAAAATATTGTCTTTTTGTATACCAGATGTTTCACGTTAACTTTTTTTTTTTTTATTTATGTGTGTGACCAAATAGGTCAAGGATTTGTTATTGAAATACCTTTTATGGATAACCTCGACCTTAAGGGAGAGATGTCACACAAAGTGAAATTGCAATAATTGAAAAAAACCGTCTGCAAAATATTTTCGTCAATTTAAACGCAATATTTTCATTCGGTTGGTTTTTTTTTTTTTTTTTTGTAAAATAAAATAAAATCAAAAAGAAAAAAAAAAAAGAAAAAGAAAAAATTACTATAGGCTATAAAAAGTTGATTTTTCATTAATCAAAGTTGGTATCATGTAGGTTTGAAAAAAAAAAGAAAATAATTCCCCTCCTCACTTTTTTTCTCTTTTTTTTTTTTAACTGGATTGCAAACTTGTAGACATTATTAATTTCCATATGTAATGAACGTTTTTTTTTTTTTATTTAATAATCACATTTAGCTTTTATGAATTGATATACAATTACACCTTTGATTATTTTTATTATTTTAAATTATTTATTTATGTGTTAATAAAAGTGAGGCTGCTAGCATAACAAATTTTTTTTTTTTTTAAACTAATTTCAAAGCACTTTAAAAAAATTAAAAAATTACTTTTAGACACACGAAGCATTTTAAAATACAAAAAAAAAAAAAAAAAAATCAAAAAATTTGCAAACTGAATTCCTTAAAAGCAACTATGTATAAATTTAAAAAAAAAAAAAAACCAATAATTTCCTTTGTCACACAAAATGCCAAATTTACTAAAATGCAGATGAGTATTCATTCAAACACATTTTATATAATCATTCATACAATTTGAATTTTTTCACTTGAAATTGTAAATCAATTATAATTTGGAAAGCTTGTACACAATCGATATTTAGACTTTTAATTATAACTTTACCTCGTTTTTTAACAACTGAAATATTAATTGAGTTAAATCCAAAAAAAAATTTTAAATTAAAAAGTTTTGAAAAAAAGCTTTTAAAATACTTAAATTCTTAATTCAAAAAAAAAAAATTAAATATTATTACAATAATGCTTTGCTCGTAAGATATTTTTCGAATTCTTATTAAGCCAAATATAAATTTAAAGATGTAAGAAAATAATATTTAAACTTATTTTTGCTCAAGAAAAATTTTATGTATGTTATTAAAATACTTATTTAAATTATTCAAAACTAAAGTAAGTAAAAAACAAAATTAGATAAATATATTAGAAACATTTAGGCAGAAAAATGATCCCTGATGCGATAAATAAATATTCATTAAAGAGCTTTTAATTGTATGTTTTAAAAATGAAGTTTCTAATGATTAAATTAAAATAATTTTAAATAAATTATTGAACTGAATATATATATATAAAAACTATAAATTTCATACTATTTATGTTTAAAAAAAATAATGTTTGTTTAAAGAAAATTCTTGTAATAAAATGTTTATATTAAAACACAAAGACATTTGTGCACAGCATTTGTAAAAATGAAAAAAATATTGGTAGAGCGTTTGACAAGTGACATGACCATTACGAAATTAGTTTAGAAAGCTGAATTTTAATAAATATGTTATTTACTATAATGCTTTGACGATGAGTATAAATTAATAAAAAAATTTTTAATAATAAATTCGCAGCATTCAATTAAAATAACATATTTCAGTTTTGTGTAAGAAACAGCGAAAATGAATCATTCATGTTGAAGCCTACCTGTCTTGTATCATAAGTATCCTGAGATTCAAAATCCCTTGAATAGTTTTTTCGTAAATCTTCTCTATCCATTTTAATGAATTTCAATAAATTAAATTAATATATATATTTACAAATTTTTTTTGCTAATCAAACAATAAACACAAATTTTAATTTTTGCCTTTTCGGTCATAGCCTTGCTGGGAGCCTACGCAAATTTGTCGGAGAAACTGTGTTATGGAATACTGTAAAATACACTAAAAAACTCTTCACTTCTTTAACAATAATATATAAGTATATAATAATATAAGGTTAAAAAAAACTACCAAACAAAAATCAACATTTTTTTAAAACAAAAAAAGGCATAAAGCTCAAAAAATAAAAACTACACATCTCACTCCTCCATTTTGGTCATTTGCGATCGAACTTGACTAATTACTGAACGTATATTCGTACAGGGAGTAAAATTCCTAAATTTATTCAGGGCCTTTTTCTAACGTGTTTATCCGTTATTACAGAAATCGGTCTCATTCCTAAGCCTAAACACTCGTTGAAAAACTTTAGCAATTATGTTGCAACAAGACGATTTTTGCGTTTACTTAAAAGCTTGGTGCCAAAATTTTAATTTCCTAAATCAATCAGATTCCAATTGAAGTTTTTAATAATATCAAATTTAAAAATTATAAAGTAATAATTAGAAAAAATTAAAAGGCTTTTATAATATAAATTTATATAATATACATGTATACAAATAAACTTGGACATCTATCTTAGGCGCTTGACAGTAATCTAGTAATACTAAAATAAAATTTTGCTTAAAAATAAAATTCTTAATTTATAAAATCAATGACAGCCACAACTTTTTACTACCATATTTTTATATTTTTTTAAAGTGACATTAGATTCCTCGACAAAAAACAAAACTGATATGGCTGTTAGTTTGGTAGGTGCACAACATGGCTTTGGAACATTAACTGGATTCATTAAATGAACTAATGTTTGAACTATGGCATGATTTGTTGCATTCATATGAGCATTTAATGGAAAATTACATTCTCCACTACAGTAAAATGCTTGGTATCCATCGGGAGCAATAATCCAATCATGCCATTTTAAATCTTTAAAACTAACATAAAGGTTTTGTATCTGACAACTTCTAGATGTCCAGTGGGATGGAGAATGTAATAATGGATTCCTGCTTGGATTATTTTCAGATTTCTTTTTTCTTCTTCTCGCTTCTCTTGTCTGCCTTATTTTAGCCTCTTTTACACCTGACGATTTAAAAAAGGCAACTAAAAACGGTTGGTGTTCTTCATCTGTTTTAGAGGATACCAAACCTATTTCTTCAGGCTTTATTTCACAATCTAAAAAAAAAATTTTTTTTCTATAATTTTCAATTTAAGACAAAATAAAAAAAAAAAAAAAAACTGAAATTGAAACTTACTTGGATTTTGATGTGATGTAACAGATATGTATAGACCTAAATTTGTATTTGGTATAGCAACCCATCTGCTTAAGGGTTTTGTCATATTAAATGTTAACCAAGTTTCACTGGAAAGTGTCGTATTAATTGAATCAACATATTCAAGCTCATTTTCTCTAAAAAGATATTAAGAATAATACAATTTGGACACACTTTTACAATGTTGGATGTACTTAAAAAAAAGCACTAAATTTCAATTATTAATTCTGAAATTAATGCTGGCAGAATACTACTAACCCTCTTTTATCTGTGACGACTTGATAAATTGTAACTGTAAATGATGAATGATTTGTTTTGTGAGTGAAATTTAAACTTTGGTACAATCTTAATTCACTTCCGACAATACTGTCTTCAACTGAAACTTCAGCAACATCAAACCATAGTCTTTTACCTCTTTCATGTCTTAACCCATCTACTTTATCTAAAAATTACAGATATTTTTGCACAAATATTATATAATTTAAAAGACCTAAAGATATTTTTAACAAATACTCTATTTAAGATGTAAGTAAAAACGTAAACTTTAAAAATTTCCACTGAACAACAAACCATCATAAAAAAAAAAAAAAAAAATTTCATTTAAAATAAAGAAAGTTGTACTAACCCTGAGGAAGAAAACTCATGATAACATCACTTTCATCGATGGCTTGTTGATCTTTACCACTTAAACTGAATTCACTTCTAGCAGTTCTCACATTTGGATTATCCAATAAGCTCATATAAACATCCAATAAAAATTTTGGAGCAGAACTACCCAAATGTACGGGCAAACTTTGACGGGGTCGAGGGCGAGAAGGTAAACCCAACAAATTTAACATTTCATGTTCAACTTCTCTTTTTTCTTGACGAGTTAAAAATCTTTGTATAATCGTTTGATCTTTTCCATTATCATAATAAATTCCGGAAAGACGAGCACTTACTAAATAAAAAGTGCAAAAAAATGGAGCCAAATTGATAAGATTCATTAGATTATGTTTAATTAGTAAGAGAAAAAAAAACAAAACAAAACCAGGAAAGGAATGCGCGTCGATCACTTAATATATGTTTCTTCTGAGTCGATGGCTTTGTACCTTAAAATAAGGACCGTTTAAAAAACATAAACTAAAAAAAAAAAAAAAAAAACTTTTTTTTGCACTTAAAAAATGCGTTATTTATTTAAAAAAAAGTTTAACTTATTTATACAAAAAAAAAAAAAAATTTATTCACAGATTAAAAAAAAAAAAAAAAAAAATAAACAAATTCACAAAACCACTAATTGATTCTTGCCCACGCTAAAACTCTTTCATAATTGCGTCAAATTATTGTACCAGACGATTATTGTACATTTCAAACAATAAAATAAGTCAAATTTTATTTAACGTATTTTTCCATAAATTTCCTATGAAAATCAGAACGCAAAGAATCATTTATAAAATTATCTTTCTTTTTTTCAGGCTCCGACCTGGCGCAATTTTTAAAAACTACGTCATCATCCCATCTTCTTTTTACCTGAGAATTATATATATGTATTAAATTACATTAATGTAATGTCATTTAAGTTGGAGGACATTTTTGCATTTGAAAAATAAAAAAAAAAAATATAATTTTTTCCATTAAAAAATTATCTAATAATTGTAAACAATTATTATTTTTTTTTTATATGTGGCCTAAAAATTTATTATTATTTAAAGAAGCTTAAAAAAATCATAAATAAAAATTTCCACACAGAAATTTTGTAAATAAAAGGTCAAGTTAATGCTATTATAACCGATGATTTAATTTTTTTTATCATATTTTTTTTATCAGAAAACAATAAATAATATACATCTGAGAGTTTTACATTACGATTTTAGTTGAAAATATTTTTTTAAAATTTATTATTATAAATGTGTTAAACTGTAATTGACTACAATCATGTTTTAAAACAGTAGTCAGCTATAATTGCAAAAAAAAAAGCATTACAATGTTATTTTTTAAAAAAGTTTGAAATAAATATTACAAATCGAATGAAATAAAAAAATTCTAATTTCGTAGTACCTTGTATATTTAGGTATGCTTCATGTTTCAACAGGTGTATGAGTTATTATATATATATAAACACTTTTGCAATAAATGTTAATAAATTTGGGTTTGAATTGAAATGAAAAACTTACAATAAAATCAAATTCAAACAACTTACAAAGCGAAAAAAGTTACTTCAAAATTGTAATGAAAAGTAGTTTTCAGTAAATATGACTCACCTTAATATCTGTTTTAGTGGCTTGTGCAGCATAATTTAATAAAGGATTCCCACTAAGAATATTTTCCATTCTAATTCTTTCTTCCTCCTGACGTTTTTCAGCTTCCTTTCGAGCATTTTCAGCAGCACGTTCTTTTTTTATTCTACTTAATTCTGCCATTAAAGCAGCCGTATCATCATCAGATTCATTTTCATCCGAATCATCATCCTCGTCCAGAGGATCATCTGCATCCAGACTCGCAGCAGGAAGTTGATCAAGTTTAACTCTCTTACTTTCCCTTGAATCTCCATCTCGACGACTACTTTTTTCTTTTTCATGTTCGCGGTCTTCTAATTCTCTTCTAAAATCACGAGATCTTAATTCTTCAGATGTTCCTTGTCCATGTTCTCTAAATTTTAATTTGGTGTGACTTGGTAAATCTCTACTCGAATACTGTTTTGAAATGGCACTCAAATCCTTTTCTCCACGACCTTGACCACCTCGTGCTGGTTCAAAAGTCGGCCTAGCTGCAGTGGTCATATTTAATAAAACTTCTAGTTAACCTTTTTTTATAATTTCTAAACACTTATATTTATATAAAGTCTTATAAAAATAATAACAATATTTGGGGCCCTAAAAAACAAATATTTCTAATAACTTTTAAAAGTATTTCTTTTTTTTTAAATTGAAAATTATTTACCCAAGAAAACATAAAAAATTAAGCAAACGCGATTATTAATAAAATCACAAATTATTTTTTTTTTAATAATTATCATTAAAATCTATATTTCAGGTATAAGGTAATAACTTCCAACAGTAAAAAGACACGTCATTTGATAAAGTCAAGTATGGCGTCCAAAACAAGCAAGGAAAATTTAAACTCGGTAAAATATTAAAATTACCTTATTATGTTTGTTTTAAAAAATTCAATAAATTTTTAAAATTAATGACAAAAGTTATAAGGCGTCATAATTTTAATAAAATTTTTTTTAATTAGGAAAAAAAAATAGTTAATAAATGGGATGGTTCCGCATGCAAAAATGCTTTAGACGACACTGTCAAAGAAATTCTAACCAAAAAATTTAATTATGTCGAAACCTTTGGATTAATTGACATAAGATTATGTTTATGCGGTGTAGCTGTTGGTGTAGCATTGTTTGCTCTACTATGGGATCAGTTATATCCTTTTCCTTTATCCAGAAGTGTTCTAGCAGTTTGCGTATCGACCTATTTTATTGTGACAGGAATACTTACACTGTATACGTCATACGTAGAAAAAGGAATTTTTGCTGTTACTGTTCAAAAGAATGGGAAAAATTCTGGATCTGATAATATTTGGGAAGCTAGTTCATACATGAAAAAGTTTGTATTTCTCCCTTTTTTCCCCTCCCCCCCCCTAATCTTGGAGGAATTTATCATAAATTAAATTTTTAAAATTTATAGATTTGATGATAAGTACAATCTCCTACTCATATTAAAAGATGGAAAAAGTGGAAGCATTCGTGAAGCTGTGTCTTGTAAATCAGTTTCTCAATACATAGATGAAAATGGTACAGTTATTTATGATCTTGTCGAAGTTGAAGTTTCAAAATTACATAACAGTTTACTAACTGAGAAAAAAGATAAATAAATAGACTGATATTAGTTACATTTTATCAACCTGTTTTTTTTTCTTATGTTTTTTTTCTCGATTCAGTATTTTATATGTAATTTTGCCCACATAATATTTATTATACTATTTAAAAAAAAAAACCAAATCAATGTTATTTAAATCTTACACATAAATAAAGGGTTTATGATAAATAAATTTTGGTGTATTTTAATTATTTTTCATTAGCTAATGGTTAAATTAAAAAAAAAAAAAAAAAAGAATTTTTTTAAAACAAATAATTGTTTTATTTAAATAAAACACATACAACACTGATAGTAAATAAAATCTATAAAAAACAATATTGACAAAAATTACTTATTTAAAAAAAAAAAAAAGAAAACATTTTGCAAGATAAATATCTAATGTGTGATAATTTAATTATATATATTATTTCATTTAAAAAGATTAATAATATAAAAATGTGATTATAAAAAATTGTAAATACTTTTTTTTTTTTTTTTTTCTCTCTAAGTAAATGAACCTTCATCTATTTAAATGTATTATTATTATTATTATTATTTTTTTTTTTTTTTTTTTTTTTTTTTTTGATATCAAACCATAAGTAATTGATTCATTCATTTTAAATAATAATAATAATGTAAATACTATAAAAAAAAATTTTTAATTCTAAAAAATATATATAATTACAATAATAATAATAAAATGATACTAATATTTGCCTCAGCCCTTTAATTTTATTTTTAAAATAATAAATTAAATTTTTTAATTCAATTTAACAATCATCAATCGTTATAAAGGGAAACAAAATAATAATAATAATTTTTCGAACCGAGAAAAAAAAAAAAAAAAGGGCACTCAACTAATGGCAGCTCAACTAATTTTGCTACAGAAAATACTTAAATAATTTTCTAAAAAATCTAATTCATGGCAGCTTTTTTTTTTTTTTTTTTTTAAAAAAACGTTTTTTTGCCAATTAATTAATTATTCTTCAACGTATAAAATTTTGAAAATTAAAAATAAAAAAAAAAAAAAAAATTTATTGTGTAGAAAAAACATGATTATTAAAAATCACAATTATAAATAATTAAAGCTCAATAAATAATTATCTCACTAAAGATTTAAATTTTTTTTTTTTTAAATTAAAATTAAAGAAAATCTCGATT